TATCTGGGACCACAGGCATGAGCCACCAGGCCCAGCTAATTTTTGTATTTTTGGTAGAGACAGCATTTCACCATGTTATCCAGGCTGTTCTCAAACTCTTGATGTCAAGCAATCCACCTGCCTGGGCCTCACAAAGTGCTGGGATTGCAGGCATGAACTACCATGCCCAGCTCAGGCTTATTAAATTTAAGATGCTTTGAAATATCCATCTATTGATTCATAAATGTGTTTTTGAAAGAAACAGATGTGTGTGTGTGTGTGTGTGTGTGTGTGTGTGTGTATAAAAACTGGTGAGATTATGGGTAACTTTTACTTTATAATTGCTTGTCCATATTTTCTAAATATCATATCATAAAGATGTATAACTTTTATAACAACCAAAAGGAAAATTATTTTAAACATAGATATGTATGGTACTTGCAAATCTGACTCCCAAATTTCAAGGGACTCTTGCTACGTCAATGCTTCTTAAATCAGAAAGTCCTAAGTTCTGGGCCCACATACTCAGCTGCCAGATGGCCATGTTTATTTGAATGTTCCAAAATTACCTTGAGCTTAACATGCCCAAGCCAGAACTCATTATGTTTCCCAAAAAAAAAAAAAAAAAAAAAAAAACCTGCCTGTTCTTTTGTACACATCATCTCAGATAATAGCACTTCCATACATCCAGTCACTGGCCCTCAAGTGTGGTGCTTTTTTTTCTTTATCTTTTTTTTTTTCTTTTTTTTTTGAGTCAGGAGTACAATGGTGGATCACAGCTAGCCAAGACCTCCTGGGTGCAAGTGATCCTTCCACCTTAGCCTTCCAAGTAGCTGGACTGAAGGCTGGTACCACCTAGCTAATTTTTTTTTTTTTTTTTTTTTTTTTTTTGAGAGATGGGGTTTCACCTCCTTGCCCAGGCTGGCCTCAAACTCTTAGCCTCGGCCTCCCAAAGTGCTGGTATTACAGGCACCCAGCCCAAGAGGTTCTTGATCTTACCTAATCCTTGCCTGCCACATTAAATCAGTGTATCCTGCCTATTCTGTCTCCCAAAACGCTCTCTTTCATCTCCTGCCTGCTACTCCCTGGCTGCTACTCACCCTTCATGGTCTCTCACAGAGCCTCCTGGATGCTCTTCCTTCCACCCAAGTTTCCTGCCTCAGCCTACCCCCACCTCCTGCCATATGGATGCTAGTTATCTGCAAAAATGGAAATCTCAGTGGGTCATCCCTGCCCACTGACTATAGGATACAGGCCAATATTTTGCGCATGACTTATATGCTCACACTGCCCCCTTTTCTAGGCTCATCTCCAGCAATTCCCCACAAGCACATTCTGCTCCAACTACAAAAAAACTACTCTCCAAATAAACCATACTCTTTCATGACTAGATGTGTTTGCATATGCTGTTTCCTCTCCAGGGAATGTTTTTCCCCATCACTCTCTGATGCTTTCAGATTCAAGACTCTAATAAAATACTCTATTGAAGGCTTGTCTGACCAGCCTGGGCAATATAGTGAGACCCTGTCTCTACGAAAAATTTAAAAATGCCCAGGAGCAATGGCTCACACCTGTAATCCCAGCACTCTGGGAGGCTGAGGCAGGAGGATCACTTGAGCCCAGGAGTTCAAGACCAGCCTGGGCTCAAGATAAAGTGAGACCTTATCTCTATTTTTTAATTAAAATAAAATTAAATTTAAAATTAGGGCCAGGTGCAGTGGCTCACACCTGTAATTCCAGCACTTTGGGAGGCCGAGGCAGTCGGATGGCCTGAGGTCAGGAGTTTGAGACCAGCCTGGCTAACATGATGAAAACCTGTCTCTACTAAAAATACAAAAATTAGCTGGGCATGGTGGCACACACCTTTAGTCCCAGCTACTCGGGAGGCTGAGGCAGAATCACTTGGACCCGGGAGGTGCAGGTTGCAGTGAGCTGAGATTGCACCATTGCACTCCAGCCTGGGAGACAGAGCGAGACTCCGTCTCAAAAAAAAAAAAAAAAAAAAAAAAATTAGCTGGGCATAGTGACCTGTGCCTGTAGTCCTTGCTACTCAGGAGGCTGTGACTAGACGATGACTTGAGCTGAGGAGTTTGAGGCTGCAGTGAGCTATGATTGCACCACTGCACTCCAATCTGGGTGACGGAGCAAGATCTTTTCTCAAAAAAAAAAACACCTTATCCCAGTTTTTCTGCCACAGTTATTTAGTAACTATATAGTTAAAACTAATAACCTATAGTTCTATTGCTAATAGAACTGTATGTTATTTACATATACTGTTTTACAATTAATTTACAATAAAATTATATTTAGTATAATTATATGTACATATAATTTTATTGTATGGCAATGGCTCACACCTGTAATGAATTTACAATAAAATTAAATGTAATTTTATTGTAAATTTTGTTTTTGTGACAGTGTTTCCCAGAATGGAGTGACTTTTTTTTTTTTTTAGTACTGATTTACCAGGTACATGTGCAATCTCATTACCTGCACAGGTTGTGTAGTGGTCAAGTCAGGGCTTTTAGGGTTCCCATCACCCAAGTAACATATACCCATTAACTAATTTTGCATCATCCACCCCTCACCCTGCCAACTCTTCACTATCATTCCACTCTCTAGTACATGTGTACACATTTTTAGCACCCACTTATGAGTGGGAACATGCAATATTTGACTTTCTGTGCCTGGTTTGTTTCACTTAAGATAATGGCCTCCAGTTCCATCGATGTTGCTGAAAAATACATGATTTCATTTTTGTAATGGCTTAATAATATTCCATTGTGTAAATATACCACATTTTACCCATTCGTCTGTTGATGAACACTTAGGTGAACTCCATATCTTTGCTATTGTGACTAGTGCAATAAACATATGAGGCAGGTATCTTTTTGATGTATTGATTTCTTTTCCTTTGAGTAGATACCTAGTAGTGAAATTGCTAGATGGAATGGTGGTTCTATTTTTAGTTCTTTGATAAATCCCCATACTGCTTTCCATAGAGGCTGTACTAATTTACATTCCCACCAAAAGTGGATGAGTTCTCTTTTCTCCATATTCTTGCTAACATCTGTTACTTTTTGTCTTTTTAAGAATAGCCATTCTGGCTGGGGTAAGATGATATCTCATTGCAATTTTAATTTGTATTTCTCTGATGATTAGTGATGCTGAGCATGTTTTAATATATGTGTTGGCCATTTCTATCTCTTCTTTTGAAAAGTATCTATAAGTATCCATTCATGTCCTTTTCCCACTTTTTTTTTTCTTTTTTTTGAAACTGAGTCTCACTCTGTCACCTGGACTGGAGTGCAATGGCATGGTCTCACCTCACTGCAACCTCCACCTCCCGGGTTCAAGGGATTCTCCTGCCTCAGCCTCTCAAGTAGCTGGGACTACAGGTGCATGCCACCGCACCTGGCTAATTTTTGTATTTTTGGCAGAGACAAGGTTTCTCTATGTTGGCCAGGCTGGTCTAGAACTCCTGACATCGTGATCCACCTGTCTCAGTCTCCCAAAGTGCTGGGATTACAGGCATGAGCCACTGTGCCCGGCCACTTTTCCCACTTTTTAATGCGGTTGTTTTTGTTGTTGTTGTTGAGTTGTTTGAGTTCCTTGTACATTCTGAATATTAGTACCCTGTTGGATGAATAGTTTGTGAATTTTTTCTCATATACTACAGATTGTCTGTTCACTCCATTATTTCTTTTGCTATGCAGAAGCTTTTTGATGTAATTAAATCCTTTTTGTCTACTTTTGTCTTTATTGCCTGTGCTTTTGAGATCTTTGTCATAAATTCTTTGTCTAGACCAATGTCCAGAAGAATCTTCTCTAGGTTTCTTCTAGTATATTTATAATTGCAGATCTTATGGTTAAATCGTTCATCCATCTTGAGTTGATTTTTGAATGTGGTGAGAGATAGGGGTCCAGTTTCATTCTTCTGCATATGGCAATCCAGTTTTCCCCAGAGTAACTTTCTGAGCAAGGAGATCCTACCATTCAACTTCAGATAACCAGAACCTAAGTCATGATTTGCCCAAATTAGGTTCAATAGATGTTTATGGAAGAAAGTGGGAGGAGGGAGAGAAGAAGTAGACAAGCTGACTTGAGTCTGACACCTCTGAGGTCTCAAGAAAGAGAAACTTTGAAGATTCAGGTAAAATATCAGTGTAATCCCACAGAGATTGTGTAAAATAATTGTAAAACAGTTGTGCAAAAGAAATGCACAATTTAAAAAAAAACAGTAATCTGCTAAGGGAATTTTTTTTTCAAAGAGAAAGCATGACACAGTAGAAGAGTCATATCTTAGAGTTAGGAGGCTACTCTGTTACTGCTTCTCCAAATGACCATGGACACCTTACTGAGCCACTGCAAACATCAGTTCCCTCATTATAAAGATGACAGGACTGGAAAATCAGTAACAAAAAAAGGATTCTTATTCTGAACACTTTACTAGGCTTTTTTTTTTCTTTTACACACATTCTCTAATTTAATTCTTAAAACTATGTATGATGTGTTTTACTTCCCCATTTTACAGCTGAGAAAAACGAGGCCAAGAAAGGTTAAATATTAATAACATGCTGAAAGTCACATTGCTGGTAAATGGAAAAGCTGGAATATAGTTTTAAAGTGGTAATTCCTTTTTTTAAATTCATTTTTTATTTTTATTTTTTATCCCTTGGTGCAAGATCTCTGTAAGGGTTCTAATTTCTGGATGTTATGATTCTGTAAATAATTCCAAGGAGGAACATAAAGGCAGAAGTCACTGAAGAAACCAATGACTGTATAGAAAATCTGGTGGGTTACTATGAAAAATATTAACAATACAAATCATATAAGTGTCATCTTAACAATTCAAGTACATAATTATAAAATGCTACTTAAGCTGCTAAAAGTAAAAACTTTGGATAGAAAAAGAATTATTACCAGGAAAGGAAGTTTTCATTTTCAACGTATTTAATTTTTATAACATTTTCATAAGAAATTATTTCCTATTCTAAAAGTAATATGAACTGAACACTTACCTCCCTTCAGAGCTCTGCAAAAAGAATAATCATCATCAGATCCTCGGCAAATAACTTCTTTGCGCTTTGGAAGAGTCATGGAGTTGACAGTTATATAGAGATTGAAATATAATTGCTTTACATCTCTCCCTTTAAAAGAAAAAATCCCATTAGGTCCTCAAATAGTAGATTCTTTTATACATAATAATTAACATTTATTTTATAGTTAAAAGGGGCCCTGTGCTTTTCTTACATTATTTCATTTAATCATCACAACTATCTAAAAGGTGGGTATTATTACTCTTCTTCTGCAGATGAGAAAACTGAAGTTCTGAGAGGGCAACTAGTAAATCATAATCAAATACAATGTTCCACGGTAAAACTATGCATGCTCTGCCTAAAAACAGAAGAGCCTTCATAACTTCATAGAGAAAACTATGAAATAAAGATATAAAATGTCTAGTTCTAATCATGGTTCTGCTAGAAAATTCAAAAGAAAAGAAAGGGAAAGGAAAGACAGTGAGACAGTCAACTTTCTAGGAGTTCTGATGAAAGAGTTATTGAGAATAAAATAGAATCTTTTGATGAAAAATAAATATATGGCTATTTTTTAATTTCCTTGTGATCTCCCTATTTCCAACTACCATGAAAAATTCCAGTAATCAATGCATTTTTCTCAACTCTTCCAACTTACTCAGTTGGCCCAAATGAAAAAGATGCACAATCCTTTTCATTCTTTTTCTTTTCTTTTTTTTTTTTTTTTTTTTTTTTGAGACAGAGTCTGGAGTGCAGTGGCATAATCTTAGCTCACTGCAACCTTCGCCGCCCAGGTTCAAGCGATTCTCCTGCCTCAGCCTCCCGAGTAGCTGGGATGACAGGCGCCTGCCACCGTGTCCAGCTAATTTTTTTTATTTTTAGTAGAGATGGGGTTTCACCATCTTGGCCAGGCTGGTCTTGAAGTCCTGACTTTGTGATCCACCCGCCTCAGCCTCCCAAAGTGCTGGGATTACAAGCATGAGCCACTGTGCCTGGCCAAAAAAGATGCACAATCCTTTTCATAACGAAAACAATTTTGCAACCATTACCTCACTGAAAATATTTTCCAAGTAAGATCACCATGACTCATTATAACCATAATCAAAAGACAACTTTTCTAACTTTAATTTGAACTTGTCTATGCTTAATAGAACTGCCTGCTTCTTTCCCTAAACCTTCTTTGGTGTTGGTGCAACCACTCTCTTCCAGGTGTCCTCCAATCTCTCTGACTCCTCCTCCTCAGTCTATTTCATTGACTCCTAGATTTCTCCAGGTTCTAGCCTCAGTTCTCCTCAATTTTCACTCTGCACACCCTCTCAGACCAAATACCACATAAGGTGACAATTCTCAAATCAACTTTCGTCTCAACCTTTCTCCAGAGCATTGATCCCATGTATTTATTCAATATCTCTACTCAAATGTTGCCCAGTTACCTTACCCAACAGATCTAAAAGTGATATCCTCCTCTTCATCACCAAATTGGCACTAGAATTCCCAGTCCTAGTAAATCTTTCTAACCTCCTTTTCATACCGATTACCGTGCTGCCTTCATGCAGGCCCTCATAGCTCTGAACCTGAAGCACCACCAACCTTCCTAATTTGTCTTCACTTCTCAACTTTCAGGGTAGGGTGTGGAGAAGACTATCATGGGGTCTGTTTCAAACAGTGATTCCATGGCCTACTCCATGGACTTCGGCTTGAACTTCTCCAAAAGCAGGGCTGTGTGTAGAAGTTGAAAGACCGTTTTCACAAGGAATTCCTGGAGACACAGAAGCACAAGACAGTGCCACCATGGTGTCCAGTGACAATGCAGGGCAAAGGACCTTCTTCCATTTCTTCGTGAAACACAGCATGATTCCAGTCTTCAATAACTCCAGGAAAGGAAGTCCTGCTTTGACAACTCAATAGTTTACGTTGTGAGAAACTCCTTGGCCTTGGACACCCCTGTGGTCATGTTAAGAACATGAACAATGGCAACAACGAGACATCACTTTTGTGGCTCAGCAGGCTAGGGATGCCAATGTGGGTGTTGGAGTGAGACACAAGAAACATGGGCTGGGCACGGTGGCTCACGCCTGTAATCCTAGCAATTTGAGAGGCTGAGGTGGGCAGATCACCTGAGGTCAGGAGTTCGAGACCATCCTGGCCAACATGGCAAAACCCCATCTCTGCTAAAAACACAAAAATCAGCTGGGCGTGGTGACAGGCTCCTGTAATCCCAGCTACCAGGGGTACTGAGGCAGGAGAATTGTTGGAACCTGAGAGGCGAAGGCTGCAGTGAGCTGAGATCACGCCACTGCACTCCAACCTGGGTGACAGAGTGAGATTCCATCTCAGAAAAGGAAAAGAAACATGGTGGCTGTCATGTGGTATATAAGAGGACTGTTTTTTAGCTTACCAAAGACAATTCCAGGAACTTCCAGAAATAACCTTAAAGGAAGCTTATGCTCCTGTTCTATTTATCAATCAGTTAATAATATACAAATAATTTACTAGCAAGGCTATGACGTCTCAAAAGATATCATTTCCATTCTCAACCTATTTTTGGTTCAAGTTTGTACTTGTATCTCCTTCCGAATTCAAGTAGAAATAAGGCCATAAAAATAAGGTCGATTTCCATGAATGTGGCCTCACATTTTATACCAACATTATAGTATATTCTATGGAAACTCAGGTCATAATTGCACTATAAAAATGTGACTGAATAATTATTGTGTTGATAAATTAATATAATTTGTTATATAAATGTCATATTTAGTGAGAAATTATAAAACATTTGTGATGGCCATCAAGATATGTTCCTCAAATTTCCCTTCAAAAGCAGCTGCTGTGAGGAGAGTAGCTGGCAGACAGTCTGCAGCTGCCGCATCTTCACATCTATCTCAGCACTCAGCCAGAGGCCACCCTCTCATAGGCTGCTCTATAACGATCCAGCACTGCAAGGACCCTAGAGCCAGGCTACTCCCGCCTGTCATGGGACTCTTACGACAGGCATTCTGCTCTGGGGCTCCCTATGTTGCCCAGGCCAAGAGTGTCTCAGGGATGCATTCTGGTCTGAGGGTTATCCTACCTAATTCTCCTTCCTCCCTTCTCTCTTTTCAAAGGCATCAGAGCTGCACCCCAATCTGAATTTTCTCCTAGCCTACTCTGGCTTCCTTTATTGTTCACAGGTGTTTCCTCCAAGAAATCTCTAGCCTAATTCCTTCTTAGTGTCTGCTTTTCAGAGAACTCTAAATGATTTCGTACTGTCTTATTATCTTGGCCTGGAAAGATACAACCTGTTTCCTGTGTGTAAGGGGAAGGGATTCAATTGAAAGTGAGATTACTCATTATGTAAATCATCCTTTATGGCAAATGTGTAGGGGTAAAACCTGCCAACAGACCAGAAAACAGAACCTAGGAAAAAGGAAGAAACTGTAGAGCCTTAGCCAAGCAAAACTTTAGATTATTTATTTTATCCTTGGCCAGGAAATTGGAGGAAATAGAGTTAATCATCCTTTGTTCTGTGCTGTCACTAAGCTTTATTCCTATCACTTCACTTATACCGTACTATCTGCAGATTTGTCTCTCCTATTGCACTGATGGATTCCTGAATTTCAACAGAATGTCTTATTGGGTGGGTACGGTGGCTCACGCCTGTAATCCCAGCACTTTGGGAGGCCTAGGCAGGTGGATCACTTGAGGTCAGGAGTTCAAGACCAGCCTGGCCAGCGTGGTGAAACCCCATCTCTACTAAAAATACAAAAATTAGCTGGACGTGCTAGTGGGCGCCTGTAATCCCAGCTACACAGGAGGCTGAGGCGGGAGAATGGATTGAACCCAGCAGGCAGAGACTGCAGTGAGCCGAGATCATGCCACTGTACTCCAGCCGGGGCAACAGACAGAGACTCCATTTCAAAAAAGAAAAAAAAGAGAGAGAGAGAGAATATCTTATCAAGGAATTCACAGTGCCTAGCACGATACTTATAATTTACTAAGCATTTTTTAGTGAATAAATGAATGCAGATATGGAGTGTCAAAAAAACAGGTTGAACAACTAGAATCATGAAAATTAAAATACAAGTTTATTGTCTATCATTCCTGGGTTCTCAGTTTCAGGGATTTTGTTGTTGTTGTTGTTGTTTTTCATTTTTCTGGTAAGCCAGATAACTAATATCAGGGGAAAATGTTTAAGCTTATTTATGTAAAACTACTCTGTAAAGCATTAATATAAAACAAGCTCCAAATCTAAACTAGGATGTGAATTATGGTGATAATGATGATGATAAAGATTAAAACTAAAGTTTTCTGGGATTCCAGAGCTTACAGGCAATAAGCAATGTTGGGTAACTGGTAGGAGAAGAAAAAGTTTTGTGTCTGCACAGAGACTGAGATACAGCCCCATGCTATCACCCTACCTGTGTTAGCTTTTTCTAAGCTGATAACAAGCGGAGTCAGAGAGAGGAAAACCAAGACACAACGCAAAGCAAAACAAAACACATTGCCTTCTGTCATCACATTATTACTGTATTTTTCTCTAGAAAGATCATCTTTAAAAAATTTTAAAGTCCTGGCTTGCTCACACACAGATCTTCCACTAATGATTGACAAAGGATATACTTGTAAAATTATTGGACATCTGAAGTTATTTCCATTTCTACCCACATGTTCTTGTGTAATCCTCTCCCAATAGTGTGGACTGGCCTAGTGATTTGCTTCTAACCAATAGAACACAGCAAAGGTGATGGAGTGTTACTTCCATGATTATGCTACATAAGATTGTGAATTTTGCCTAGTTAGCTGACTGTCCCCGTTGCCGGCTTTGAAAAAGCAAGCAGCCATATTGAAATGTCCATGTGGTAAGGAACTGATGGTGGCCAACAGCCAGCAAGGGACTGAATACTAACAACTGAATACTGACAACAGCTACGTGAGCTTAGAAGTATATATTTCCTAGTTGAGCCTCAGAAGGGACTCCAGCCTGGCAAACACCTTGTTTGTAGCCTTATGGTAGACCTTGAAGCAGACACGGGTAAGCCATGCCCAGAATACTGATCAACAAAGATGATGAGATAATAAATATGTGCTGTGTTAAGCCACAAAGATCATGGTAATTTGTTACATAGCAATAGATAACGAACACAAGTATATTTGAAACACAATCATTTATCATTGATATTTCTTAACTCCTTTGATTGGTCTATAAAAGCAAAAATTTGGACTTACTTGGAATGTAGAAAATGTGCAACAATCCTCTGGATCCCTTCAATTTTATGCAGGGATTAACATTAATTGAAATTGGGTATTGCATTTTATCTAAAAGCAATAAAGATAATGTCAATAAATTACTACAAATCATCTCCAATAAGTATAGTATTCTGGATATCAGCCTTTTAAGATGAATTTTGCACTAAAATCATAAAATAAGAAAAATTGATGATGGTTGAAAATGTCTCCCCAGAGAAATGACATCAGCAGCATGGCAGAATCAGAAGCCCTGAACTCTTCTTGCCTCCACTAGCACAACAATTTACAGAAAAATTCCCTTTGTGAGAAATCAAACTAATTGAACCTGCACGCAAGGAGAACTCAAAACCAGATTCAACAAAGCCAGTAGGGAGACTTGGGACATTCTTTAACCAGAGATTATTACCCTGGTGTGGTGTTATACAATCAGGAAGAGACCCCCCCCCCACCCCAAGCTCCTAGCTCCACCCATGGGAGGAAAGAAGTTGTTTCACATGTCCAGAACCCCAACTTTTTCACGAGGGCTCCCCAGAGGACTGGCTTCTGTCTTGCCAGTCTTGGAGTTCTGATGAGTCTGGCACAGTCTACCACCCAGGGGAGAATAAAGGCAGTGTCTTGGGCAGATAGGCATCATTGATCCTCCCCTATGCTCAGCACAGACTGAGCAGATGAAAAATCTTAGTTCTCAGCTTTCTCCTGGGGAGGGAGAGTTTATCCGTGCATCCAGCACCCCAACTTCTCTGGGGATCCCCAAAACACTTACATGTTTCTCATCAGTCCTAGAGCTCTGACAAGTCTGGCATAGTCTAGCTGCCTGGCAGGGGAATGGAGACAACAGCTTGGGCTGGTAGATGCCACAGTTCCCTCCACCGCCCCATCTCTGGCTCAGCACAGAATAGGTGGACAAAAAAACACAGCTGCCTGCATCTCCCTGAAGTGAGAAAGAGTTGGTAGAGGACCCCAGAATCTCCAACCAGGCTACTAGTGAAGTGGGAAATTAAAGAAAGAAAGAAAAATAAAATTAAAATTAAAAACAGAAAGAAATAAGCTTTCCTGTATTAGGTCAACTCATCTCAAAGGCAGTAGCAGGCAAGGCCCAGCCCCAGGAAAAGTCTTGATAAACACTATCTGAGAAGCTAGGACACAAAGGAATGTGCTCAGCACTCCCTCAACATAGGGAGAGGAAAAACAAATTTTCCTTTCTTTTATGGTATGAGTTTATAGATTCTTGCTCTCTGTAACTAGTAACTTCAAATATTCTGTTTTATTTAAGAAGTACAATGAAGGTCATGAGAAGCCTGAGCAGGCCTGAACTATAGCCATCTGGGCACCATGGTGAAGATTATGAGATAAACCACTGCAAGGCTCTTTTGAGCAAAACCTAAATAACAGACATCTGGGTTGCATAGTAATGGTCATGTGTAATCCTGAGTTATAAACCTATCGCAATTTGATTAATTGTTCTGCCTCTATATCCTTACTTTCATGCCACTGTAAGCCTGCTTCAAGCTAGCCTACCACCTTTTAGAAGTGTGTATAAAAGTCAAGTGCTGTCTTTGTTCTGGGCCCAGTTTTTAGATGTTAAGTCTGCTGGGTCTGAGTGCATTCAATAAAGATCCTCCTGCTTTACCCTGAGGTCTCTCTCATCCTCCTGATTCCCACAACAATAGGTGTGGGTTATGTTCCTGTGTGAGGCCAATTTGTGAAGACCGAAAGAGATGTCTGCTTTGTAATGTGCAGATGACAAACAGAGAAACAAGTAAAATGAAAGATCAGGCAAAGATGTTTCAAACAAAGGAGCAAGACACATCTTCCTCACTTATGCTAAGGAAATGAAGTTATATGATTTACCTGACAGACAATTTGAAATACCTCTTATAAAGATGCTCACTGAGGTCAAGAGAACAATACATGAATGCAGTGGGAACTTCAATAAGAAGAAAGAAAACATTTTAAAAGACCACACAGAAATCATGGAGCTGAAGGCTGGGCATGGTGGCTCATGCCTGTAATCCCAGCACTCTGGGAGGCCAAGGCGGGTGGATCACCTGAGGTCAGGAGTTCTAGACCAGCCTGGCCAACATGGCGAAACCCCATCTCTATGGAAAAAAATACAAAAATTAGCTGGGCGTGGTGGCATGTGTCTGTAATCCTAGCTATTTGGGAGGCTGAGGCTGGAGAATCGCTTGAACCCAGGAGGTGGAGGTTGCAGTGAGCCATGATTGCACCACTACACTCCAGCCTAGGTGACAGAACAAGATGCTGTCTCAAAAAAAAAAAAAAAAAAAGAAAGAAAAAGAAATCATGGAGCTGAGGAACACAATAACTGAACTAAAAAAGTTCACTAGAGGGGTTCAGCAGCAGACTAGACCAAGTAGATGAAAGGATCAGTGAACTCAGAGACAGATCACTGCAAAAGGATTCAATCAGAGGAGCAAAAGGAAAAAATAATTTGAAAGAGTGAAGAAAACTTTAGGTAATGGTGAGATACTACCAGCCAGAACCATATATGCATTATGAGAGTTCCAGAAGTGGAAGAAAAAAAGAACAGACTACAGAAAGTTTATTCAAAGAAATAATGGCTATAATCCCAGCCACTCGGGAGGCTGAGGCACAAGAATCACTTGAGCCCAGGAGGCAGAGGTTGCAGTGAGCCAAGATCATGCCACTGTACTCCAGCCTGGATGAATGAGCAAGACTCTGTCTCAAAAAAGAAAGAAAGAAAGAAAGAAGGAAGGGAAGGAAGGAAGGAAGGAAGGAAGGAAGGAAGGAAGGAAGGAAGGAAGGAAGGAAGGAAGGAGGAGGAGGAGGGAGGAGGGAGGATCTGGGAAGATGAATGATGATGAGTCTAAAGGCCCAGTAGTGGTTTGTTTGTTTGGTTTGTTTTGCTGTCTGAGGGTCTGCTCTGTCACCAGCTGGGTATTGATGTAATGTAGCCTCAGCCCAGCTTGCTCCTGAGCTCAAGTGATCCTCTTACCAATAGCTGAGACACAGTGCATACCACCACACTCAGCTAAGTTTTTTATTTCTATTTTTGCCATATTTTTTTAATTTTTATTTTTGTAGAGATGAGATCTCACTATGTTGCAGGCTGGTCTTGAACTCCTGGACTCAAGTGATCCTGCCTCAGCACTCCCAGTGCTGGAATTACAGGCATAAGTCACCACATGTGGCCCTGTTTTTGTGTGGTTTGGTTTGTTTTAATTTTAAAAAAATTGAGGCCAGTGTGCTGGCTCATGCCTGTAATCCCAGCATTTTGGGAGCCCAAAAGGAAGGAAGGAAGGAAGGAAGGAAGGAAGGAAGGAAGGAAGGAAGAAAGGAAGGATTGAAAACTTCCCAAATCTAGGGAAAAAAATGGAAATAATGGAAATACAAATCCAAGAAGCCCAATGAAATAGTTTTGTTTGTTGGTTTGTTTTTAAATATGGGGGTCTGCTCTGTCACCCAAGCTGGAGTGCAGTGATGTAATCATAGCTCATTGCAGCTTCTAACTCCTGGGCTCAAGTGATCCTCTTACCAATAGCTGAGACTACAGGTGCATACCACCACACTCAGCTAAGTTTTTTATTTCTATTTTTACTTATTTTTTTTTTAATTTTTATTTTTTGTAGAGATGAGGTCTCACTATGTTGCCCAGGCTGGTCTTGAACTCCTGGACTCAAGTGATCCTGCCTCAGCATCCCAAAGTGCTGGAATTACAGGCATAAGTCACCACATGTGGCCTGTTTTTTGTGTGGTTTGGTTTGTTTTTAATTTTAAAAAAAAATTGTAGAGGCCAAGTGTGCTGGCTCATGCCTGTAATCCCAGCATTTTGGGAGCCCAAGGCAGATGGATGGTTTGAGGTCAGGAGTTCAAGACAAGCCTGGCCCACATAGCAACACTCCATCTCTGCAAAAAATACAAAAATTATCTGGGCATGTCAGCACAGCATGTGCCTGTCATCCCAGCTATTCGGGAGGCTGAGGCACAAGAATCACTTGAATCCAGGAGGTGGAGGTTGCAGTGAGCTAAGATCACACCTCTGCACTCCAGCCTGTATGACAGAGCGAGACTGTCTCAAAAAAAAAAAAAAAAAAAAAAATTGTAGAGATGGAGTCTTCCTTTGTTGACCAGGCTAGTCTCCAACTCCTAAAGTGTAGAGTTGTTTATGTGATTCAATTTAAGTTGTCATTAGCTTAAAACAGACTGTCAAAACTACAAGGTGTTGCTATGTTTGGAATGCATTCCCTGAAGTTCATGCATTGGAAATTTAATCCCCAGTGCAAGAGTGTTGAGGGGTGGAACCTCCAAGAGATGATCAGTTCATGAGGGCTCTGTCCTTATGAATGAATTAATGCTGTTGTTGCGGGAGTGGATTAGTTATTGTGGGTATGGATTCCTGATAAAAGGATGAGTACAGCCTCCTTCCCCACCCCTCACACGTGCTCTTTTGGCCTTCTGCCCTTCTGCCATGGGATGATGCAGCAAGAAAACCCTTGCTAGATGTTGCTCAATGTTGGATTTCTCAACAACCAGAACCATGAGCCAAATAAATTTCTGTTTATTATAAATTATCCAGTCTTATGTATTCTGTTATAGCAGCAAAAAACAAATGAAGATAGAAAATTGGTGCCAGAGAAGTGAGGTGTTGCTGTAACAGGTACCTAAAAATATGGAAGCAACTTTGAAAATGGATAATAGGCAGAGGTTGGAAGAGTTTGGAGGAACAGGCTAGAAAAAATTCCATATTGCCATGAACAGAGCATTAAGGGCAATTCTGATGCGGGCTCAGAAGAAGGGAAGAAATGTAGGGAAAGTCTGGAAATTCTTAGGGATTACTTAAGTGGTCATAATCAGAATGTTGGTAGAAATGTAGAAGGTAAAGGCAATTCTGATGAGGCCTCAGACACAAATGAAAAACAAGGTATTAGAAACTGCAGTAAAGGCCATCCTTGCTACACAGTTGCAAAGAACTTGATGGACTTTTGTCTGCTCCCTAAAACTGTGAGAAAAGTAGAACTTAAGAGCAAGGATCTATACTGTCTGGTAGAAGAAATAGATAAGCAGGAAAGTGCTCAAGGTGCTGCATG